AGTGTTTTAGGACAGGTCCCAAAACCAGTTTTGAGTTTAGGATTTGTTTCATTACACGGTATGTGGTATATGGACAATGGTGTCATTTGTAATGTTCCTGTGGAAAGTTCAATGTTCTGAGTTGTAGTAGAGAGGYAATAACGACCTCTCAGGTGATATAGCTGGATATAGAGTATCTGAATCATCACACGTAGTTTGAAGATGTGTGCGATCCAGGGAAGTCCGATCCATGACGTGTCGTTGGCATCTCGTAGAACAGAGTGGGGGCAGATAAATGCATTAGGTTGAGAGAAACACGCAGTTAACACATCAGCTTTAAAAAATTGCTTATGCTTACACGAAACTAGAACTAAATCTTGTCCTTAATTACTGATTGTGGCAAATCATTAAAACCAATAAGTGTACGGTTCCTCAAATGTGCAAACTGARTGACTTAATCCTGAACTTCTATTAAATGAAGGAGTAATTTAGTGATTCTGTTCAGTGTACTGAGTTTATCTCGTGAGTCAAAACGGATTCCAAGCCTAACTGAAAGGAGGGTGTTGGTCGCGGAGGCAATTAACTTGTCTAGATCCTGACCGATGTCCAGCTCAGATCAATAGATTTGACCGCCCGGATCAAATGGGAATTTATGGAAATTCGCCTCAAGATCGAATGGAATACAGTCAAACACAGAAACAATACTTTCTGCAGATGAAGGCAAATTGTAAGTTCGATATTCAAAAACCTTGCATGTTGTATAGTCTGAACTCTTAGTTTGAAGTTGAGGAGACTCGTGATCGGATNTATTATAAAGAATGTATGGAGGTTTTGAGCAGCGTGACCAAAAAAACATACAATGTCATGTTCTCTCTTATTTTTACAAATTTGAAAAAATTCCTACTCGGTGAGTATTCAACCAAATATGCTCAGACTTGTCAAGAACCCTTATTTTAGTGTGGTCTTTCATGTGGTGAGGTTCAGTATTCGACAAATGTAATATTTTCACACCCTTTTGAATTTCGGGATGGCCAATTAACCTGACATTTCATTATAATTCGAGAAATCTCAAACAAGCAAAAGAGTTTATGTAGGGAACTTAATAGGGAACATTGACATGGTGAAAGATGGAGAACACAAGCATACATACAGTAGAACATGCATCTTCAATTAGCTGTTTTCCAGTCAACTTATAATATATTTAATTACATTTCTTTAACTCAACTGTTTTACCACTTTGCTATGAATTGTAATGTCTCACATTTTCAGAAATACATAAATTATTTCAACGAACAGGGCTATAAAGAAAAATTTCACTGATTGGCAATCTTCTGAATTTTCATCTTTTTAATAGCATTTTCAAATTGGGCAGAAAGACCATGATCAAGTTACATGTACTTTACTGTCTAAGCCGTTAGTTGATGGTTGAAGGTGACTTAGGCAGAACAAACTAGATAACCCTGCTACTGTCATTCACTTACATTCCTGCAGGATTGCTGACATGCATACCTAGCACTGAACTAGTGTTTGCAATAATATTGTAAACTTTTAGGACCAATGTTTTCCATGTGACGTAAGTTAGGAGCTGCAATAAAAACAGACAATTCATTCATTGCAATGTGTGCCTGGATACACAAAATAATGTATACTATAAGTCTTATTAAATAATACACTTCTAAAGCATACTTTAATGTAAGCTCAATGTACTTCAAATTTCAGTTGAAGAAAAATTGATCTAAACGACATGTTGAATACATTTGTCTTTACTAGTTATGATAAGTCTCTAGATCTCCGGAAAATTCTTAAATAAAAGAAAAAGAAATAATCAACTTGGTGTAAAAAATGTACTCAGCCAAACTGCAATGGAACAAGCTTACAGTATGACCTTTCTCTGAGTCAACTATACTTAAACACTCAAATCTAGTTGAAATAATTCACAAGTAATCAATAAATATTAGTAGTGTCCGTTCAAAACTGCCATTCAGGTTTTAACTTAGCCAACAAATGTCAAAACACTTACCACAAGTTCAATACACAGGTCGTTCCACGTTCCATGTTCATCACTCTCGGTGTTCAAAGCAAAAGATATGAAGTTCCACTGATCCGAAAAGCTTGATGTATACAATTCCAAAAACCTCTGACTTTACTTTACAAATCTTCCTCCTTTGGTGACGAGTTCTTGCGTAGATCTCAAGATATCACCACATTTATGTCTCCGAGCAATGAAAATTTCCGCCATTTTGTTTCGGACTAACTGTCTTCTTTCCCATAAAATTTAACAGTAGAGTATAAAATCCATTTATTTTTTTCCAAAATACAATACTCAGAGACTTCCTCTACATTGTTTCTTAAGTTCGAAGTTCACTTTCTCCAAAAACATGCATATTTTGTAGATCAAACACTTTGAAGCCATTCTCGACATGAGGACTTCTTCACGAAATCGCGCGTGACGTCATATTAGGACATAACCCTGTACAGCGATTGGCCCTAGAGACGACCTCCCCCCCTGAGTAACCTTCATCGAATAGATGTGATGGTATGGCTTTTATTCGGTTGAGTGCGTCAAATGAATCTTTCAGTGTGTAGGCATTTTGTGTCAGCGGAGAGAGCAGGTTACTTAGAAATTTACCTACTTGATAATGTGTAGATCCAGTAGTGTCGATGATGGGTCGAAATTTAGGTAGGTGTTCATACTCTTTATGGATTTTGGGGAGTCCATGAGCTCTTGCGGGTTTGGCATGTTGAGGTCGTATTCTGTCGTAATCTTCTGGTGACAGTTCATTGCGTTTAACCAGCTTTCGGAGATAGTTTTGGAGCGAAGATAGACGGCTAGTGGTAGGATCTTTATCTACGGTTTTAAACTTATTTCTATTTGAAAATAGAGCGTCCATTGAGTTAGAATAATCGTTCTTTGCGACCAAGAACACACCTTCTCCTTTATCTGGCTTGAGGATAACAATATCTGTTTGCAGGTTTTTTAAGACTTTAACTTTTTTGTTGTCATGGGAGAGTCTTTTGTCATCGAAGTTAAGGATGTTAAAGGCCCAAGCTCTTAGGGCATTTTTGGCTCGTTCTGTACTTCTAAAATTAGATTTTAATAGGTTTTTGTCATTTAGTTGTTCCCAAATCGATTCGGCAGAGGCAGTTAAATCAACTTCACGGGGATTTGTAGCAATTCCATATTTCAATCCATATTGAAGGGCATCATATTCCTCGTTAGAGATCTCTCTGGATGTAAGATTGAAGATTAATTTGTTAGGATTTGAAGAAAGACCAGTCTCGGTGATCTTTTCTTGAATGAGTTTGTCGAATTTTCTTTGAAGAGAGGTTCGAATCTTTTGTTCTTCACGAGTGATGTATTTTCTTATGGTGTGCTTGATGACAAAACGTTTCATCCATGTTGTATTTTGCTCAAGATGGTCTATCACAAGCTAACGACCATCTTGAGCAAAATACAACAGAGAGATCTGTTGTAGAGAGATCTCTAACGAGGAATATGATGCCCTTCAATAGGAAAAACTGATCGGACATTATATGAAAGAACTTTAGAANACTGAGGCAGCGAGTGGCAGCCATTCAACAAACCAGCCAAGTATGTATGTGGAGGATGTTCATTGCCTCCTTTCATGTATTCCTCTTCCTTGCAATCAACTTGACTCCTTCTCTTCATCCATCATCTCATTCTTTTATTCATTTATTTCTAGTGCCTGGWTTRTAYRTCCCAARYGTTCTAAAGAACGTGAAGACAATGCGGGATTTAATGCAAACCATGGAAGCKCTGAGTATCTTCTTATTTRSCACTCAAAGAACTCAAGAGGARCTGGACGAAGCAARAAGAGAACTTGGCTGGGTWTTCGACTTGGCCAAGGGATTCTTTATACATAGAATTCCTGAACTTGGTATTCCTGGCCTTAGTGCTGAAAGGGAACCAGGAATGTCTTCCCATGATGCAGTGGAAGAATCTGCCAACTCTCTGCCATTGGAGGATGAAGAGGAAATGCAGTCAGTGGATTGAACAGGCCGTTCAGTGGAACATTTAAAATTCTACTTGATTTTGTTAAATTAATATTCTATAGTCTTAACTTTGAAATTCTATGATTTTAGAATTGAGTGAACAACATTTGTTGTGCAAAAATACATTACCAGTAACATTTTCATATTGTAAAGATAAATTTATTGACTTGTAAGTAATAAAACAAGACACACTTTGTCTATTGCTTCTGAACAGGTTTGCAGCACAGGGGTGAATCAAATGATTTGTCYCTCTCATAGTACGTTTTTTTAGGCAATTGTTGCGTGTCCAACAACTTTTACACACGATTTTTAGGCTCTGTTTCATGTCTGAACTGTAATAGCGGAGTATGTAGAATGTCGAGAAGACTCTGTAATAGCAGGCTGTCCGTAAATCTGGGGTTTCCGTAATAGTAGAATATCTATAATAACGGGGTGTGTGTAAGATGAGAATTGACTGTAATGTTCCTCCATAGCATGTTTTRCAGCGATAATATAAAGTTTATAGTATGCCCGCCATCTTGATATGTTTATCGATACCRTGATGCATTTCGCTAAAATGAAGATGATGTCACTAGAGAATAAGACGATAAGAATGAGATAAAAGATATTTTATAATCAAACATTAGCCGTCTCTTTAGAACAGCCTATTAAGACCTGTTTACATTGGTTGTGTTGTCGTTAGACATATGATGCTATTTTTTGCGGTAATGCACGTGTAAACAATCTGCAAATTTACGGAAATTCTCTGCATAAAAATTCCGAGCCTGTTCGAATTGGCTGCGGTAAACCTGTGAMCTGTCAGCTGAAATCGCCGTGGATTTGCAGGCTTTTTACACCCCATTTGGTTCAGTTTGCGATAAAAGTCGCCGCAAAAATCGTATCCGTCTTGTCACGCGACAAATTTGCTAATGTAAACTAGATTTTAGAATGTAACATTTTTATCCTAAATTCAAGTTCAATATATCTATTTAAATTCATATTCTATTTGCTTGTTTATTTGTTGCTAGGATACGTTTGCAGACTACTTAGAGTTATTCCTACAGTTTGGCTACACGTTCCTGTTCTCATCCGTCTATCCCATGGCTGCGTTCTGGGCTCTTTTAAACAATGTCATTGAAATTCGAACAGACGGCTTTAAAATGTGCAGAATCTACCAGAGACCTTTTGCGATACCTGCATCGTCGATAGGAGCTTGGCAGGTAAGGCTCACTGAACTCCAACTCTTCCCCCTGAACAACGCTATTCATCTTGAGAATAAGGGGGAATAGGATGAATGAGAGACCGAATATATTCATTCGAATCTTTTGTTCTTCACGAGTGATGTATTTTCTTATGGTGTGCTTGATGACAAAACGTTTCATCCATGTTGTATTTTGCTCAAGATGGTCTATCACAAGCTAACGACCATCTTGAGCAAAATACAACAGAGAGATCTGTTGTAGAGAGATCTCTAACGAGGAATATGATGCCCTTCAATAGGAAAAACTGATCGGACATTATATGAAAGAACTTTAGAACACAGTCACAAGAAAGACAGTGCCATCTTTTGTCATTTAGAAAACTGTAACAACTTTCAACATATATTAGATTTATTTTCCATCCATGATGTAGACAAGTTTGATGAGCGCCAATTTTATAAAAACATCGTGCAGAATAACACCTCTGTTATAAGTAGTGATAACAATTGGAATCTTTTATTGTATAAGGAAGCTTTCTTCATCAAACAAAACAAACCATCCTTAAAYACTGGCCTCCGCGCCTCTAGAGAATTAACGTTGTTTAATTAATTCATCTATCTAGTATATATATTGTCTTGTCTTTGCACTTTTGTAACTATTAGCCTGATGATGGTTTTGCAATAAAACCGAAATATTGCTCTATGTAATCTATTATTCTATTCGATGTTGAATATCAACTAGAATGAATATATTCGGTCTCTCATTCATCCTATTCTACCTAAAACTGTCAGCTTGTCCTGGATAAGGGGGAAGCTACTCATCAAGGGGGTAAAGATTCGCGTATTCAGATTGTCTTCGTTGTTGTTTTTATGGCCTTAACTTCGCACAGCCACTCATCCCCCTGAACAACGCTACTCATCTGGGGAAGAAGGGGGGGGAGGGGGGTACTTACCAAGGGGTAAAGATTCACGTTTTCAGATTGTGTTTGTTTTTGTAGTCTGCCTTTGAGGTCATGAGTATTATCGCCGTTTTGACCAACTGTGCTTTGATTGGTATGGCTGCTAACAGTGCTCATTGGCTGCCAGATATGACTCCTGCTAACGCTGTACTTCTCTTTGTAGCCATCGAGGTAGGATCTATCTCTGTAATGTATTAGCTAAATAGATGGTCAATTTACATCAAGTATGCGGAGGCCATTTTGGAAGTGGAAGGGTTTTTTTACTATGTAATTGAAGGACTATCACCATATCACAAATTACAGAATTKTGGTGTGGACTTGACGTTGTTCTGCCTTGCCATGCGTTGTGTTTCAAAATGGCTGCCACATCACAAGAATTTCATGTTCTTGATGCAGTTTTGATATTTCTTATTCGTCCATTTAAATATGGCATAGTTRTGTAAAAAGATAAATTTAACACCGTAAAAAAGTAGGTACACAACTTACTGCCGCTTCGGACGTTAATCCTTCGTTGAAGTATTACTCCGACGAAAGATTAACGTCCGAAACGTCAGTAAGTTGTTTCACCTACTTTTTACGGTGTTAAATTTATCTTTTTACACAACTGTTTCTTTAGAAACACCGACGCAGCTCACACTAGTTTTCACCGCTAGTTTCCACCATTTTTGGTATAACATAAATAAATTCATCTTTTTATCTTGACTGTCCTCATAATACCTTGTTTCATGTAGCACTTCTTGCTGGGAGCAAAGTTCGTGCTCGCCCTTGTCATTCCTGATGTACCGCAGTGGGTCCAAAACGAAATGGCTAAACAAGACTATCAAAAAAGACTATCTTTGAGGGTAAGCATYTGAACTTTTTAATTTTAWAGCGCTGCTTKCATGCAAATACTGGSAACTCCATCACGCGCKTTGCKTGTGGTCAACAAAGRCACCGCTTTCTGAAAGCTTTGTTTCTTTCGCGTCCCTCTGGCTACACAATTACTACCTTCGAAGTAAGGCAGTRAAAAGACTTTTAAGCAATGCAACCACGATGAAATGATAGAAATAAAACACAAAGTTAAGAAAAAGAGTTTTTATTTCATCGTTATGATACAAAAAGAACAAGARCTATACATGGTAACAAACTATCTAAGTTTACTGTTGTAGTGAAACCGTTTTAGTGTTCAATTCGTAGTGTTTCTTTCTTTGCTTTTTCTTGGTTTTAATAATAATAAAACTGTAGAGATTAATAGTTCGTCGTGTAGAAGTAGTCCGTAAAATGTAAATCAATGATCCTTGGTTGCTGCAGAAGAAACATAACTCCAAAAACATCGATGATAAAGCAATTCGTCTTCTCTCCTTTTCGCTGTGTCCTTTTTTTCAAGTACCATAGCAGTAGAGTTGTTGTTTGACCTTGTTAATCWTGGAGTCCGCGAATTCTTCTTACAAGTGTGACATCGTTGGAGCATTTCTTYTTRTCGCCTACAAATAGTCGTATTCCTTGAAGAGCGCTTGGCGTTGGTCTRTAGCGRCGCCTTCTCATTGCTTGACCGTTAGTGAAGTTAGGCTGCTTTCCATTTTCTTGGGAATTGTTTACTCTGTTTTGTTGAATTCTTCGCRAACTGCGGCGTCTGACTGGAGTTTTACGTGAAGCTTTKTTGAKAGAAACCATMTTTCTTTTCCGTTGTGCAGCAAGAAAATGAYGCTTCACGTGTGCGTAGTTTATGTTTGTTCTTCGCGGCACCGCRTTGTAATTTATTTCCTGTCTTCTGATTGGATACATAGGTTGTGGTAGAGCTCTATGATTGGCCAATTTAATTAGTATAATCTATACTTGTTTATGATTGGTGAGAAATTTTGAAGTAAAGCTCAATGATTGGCCAAAGGATCTYGAGCAGTACGATTGGTCAATGCTGTGTGAACCCACGTGGTAATTCGGGTTACTTGTGATTGGTTTGAAAGATTGGAGCCGACCTTTATGATTGGTCAATGCTTTGTGGAATTTGCTTTAGCGTGGAGCTTTTTCAGATTTGTGTATTTATGTTTATTTACAGTTCTGGTCATTTTATGATAAGCGAATTATTAGGCAATCGCATTCAGAGACGTGGATAAACGTTAAACAGCATTTCTGTTTATTTTCATTTTAGGGAAGTAAAAGTAAGCGTCCACTGAGTGTTGGCTCCCCTAAAGAGACTACGATATATTGAAGAGCCCTGTAAATAATTAAACTTGTCAAAATAATTATGTAATAGCTTTCTTGAAGCTCAAGGTCTAAATAAGGAGTAATACGCAGTGCCAACATAAAAAACTGCCACAAAGGCGCTCAAAATGAACTAAAGAAACGAAGAAAGACGCCGCCATTTAATTGAATTTGTATCATCGAAAAAACATGGCCACCAATTTGCCTCTGTTTATACTTTTAAACTTGGCAACATTCATTTGGAATATTAGAAATAGTACTAAATTTAAACTTGCATAATCGTTCTTGTAACTCTGGAAGTAAATTTGAGGTAATATTATATATTGAAACTATAGGAGAACACGAAAACATACGGACATATATATTTATAGTCTTCTGAAAGCAATCGCTTTTTACTACCAAATTGTGATAATCTCATATACCTAAACTTAAATAACACACTTTTGTAAACTGAGCATATTGGGTAATAAAGAATATGAAATTTCTGGAACCTCGRAGAAGCAGTGTTTCTAGGTCCCCTGGCCGCTGATACCAGAGCCCTCGACTTGTTTCGGGAGATTGTTTTGCCTTTTGAGATCGTTGTTTTCGATTTTCACCATGYCGAGCTACTAGTTTATCATTAAAGTCGACAACTGTGTTTCGAATCAGTAGAGTGAATGCACTTTTATTCAATTTGTTCAAATTCCCTGTTTCAGTGTATGTTTATTTACAATATTTCGTGCTATTAAGGTAACTTAATAGTTGACAATTTAAAGTTTATTTTTATTACAAAAATTGATAGTAGAGCTCTTTGTTTTGTTCGTTTTTGAATTTCGGCTTGAATTGCACGCGAACAATWTCTGAAAACCCTTCTTCTATACTTGGTTCCACAAATGAAGATCTGGAAAAGAAAAAATGGCTTTTTAATAAAAACCWTTTCAATGTTGAAACCAYTTMAGTGTTCACGCGCGCGTTGATGCAATTTTTCGATGGATATTCTGCATGATTCCTGATTGGTTTAAATGCATTTGTGCACACAGTCGTCATTGATTGACAGGCAGAGACGAGTTCTAATTGGTTCAAACGAAAGCCTTTCGAGTGCTTTCGGTTCAAGTGCGAGGTGAAGAGAAAAAAAGAAGAAAAAAGACAAATACGAGGAACAAAAGTGATATCAGTTCAAACGAGTACAACTTTTATAGCAAATTTAAGAAATAAAACAAAGAAGCCAAGAAGAARCCAAAGAAAAATTCAAAGTTTAATTTTTCAAGATATTGTTTTAGCTTTTCTACTTACTTGTAAGAGTTATACACCATAAATCCAACTCGTTTATAGTTYTTGTCSGTGTTGAGCGCCTCGCGRATTTGGTTATTGTGCTGTGCGTGTTCCTTGRTGACGTTCATGATGAAACAGCGGACTGGAACTTTTGCTTCTTTGGCACAGTCTATGTATCTATATCACAAACAAAGTTACCAACTTTTATACTCCGTATTTCACATGTGGTGAATACAAATCGTGATATGATCCGAAGCAAAAAATTAGGGTAATTTGAGTTGAACACGGCACTTTCGTGATTTGTCGTATCAAAACGGTCCTCAACTTTTCAAAAGTTTTAACGAATTTGCGTTTTTCCATAAAAGTTCGCTAAATGTTTAAAAGTTATCAGTGTAGTGAAAAAAAGGCGCAACTACTGCAACTTCAGCTAAATTTATTTACGTTTGGGTCAAACGTTTGTATATAAGGTTGGGTTGATCAATATTCCAATATTAAAAATAACGCACAAATAAAAGATTTATACAAAACGCCAAGGCAATGTTTCATACCGTTTTCTCGAGTCTTTGTCTGGATTAGTGTTATCAACTACAACACTTTTGCCTTGACTTAAATTGTTGCGACAAGAAGCTACACATTTCTGCCATGTTCCAAGGGAATCCTTGAAAAAAAATGCATACAAAATAAACAAACTATTAATAAATACGATGTGAAAAAATAACTAACAAAACAACTGGAACACAAGAGAAAAAATAGAGGAAACGCCGTGAAAACGTAGAATCACAAGCAAGACAAACCAACGTACCCTGTTCACTCGTATGTAACCTTTTGGAACGAGATATTCCTCACAGAAGCTTGACTTTCCAGCTAGAAAAATGTTAYAATAATAATTGTAAAAACTGTTTATTCCATGGGTYTTWAATGGTAASTAKCTAMAAAATTCAAAATTTGATACAAACTGCTGACGTACATGCTGGAAATCCAACCATAAYGATGACCTGTAAAGATATATTCAAATCAAATATTTCTCCATTGATGACAAATATTTTTTTTATTAGAGGTTATAGTGGCTTTAATCTTTAACATTACCTCTTTTTCTTTTGAGACTAAGCTGGCATTGGATGGCTGGAGTAATGGAACATTAGGATCAAGTTTTTTCTGCAGACAAATAAGTGAAATGGTCTTATTTTGTTAATCACTGATCATCGTCCTGATGCTGCTGCAGTGCASCGAAAGCTTGACTCTACTATTAAAGATTATTCACCAATCAAACAGCGGTATTTGGCTGCATCTGCTACATTATAACTCCACTATAAATATACTGCTGAAGGATAACTTCCCAAAATTACAAAATTAATCGCTAAACATCGCCATTGAAGAGGACAGGCTTTTTACATCGCAATTACCATCACTAACATTGCCATCATATTATCAACGTTACCTTTATCGATGTCATTATTTGCTAATTTCGTCAACTCACCGGGTCAAATTCAGGCATGTTGTATGGTGCTGGCTTTTTACCAAGAAAGAACTCTTCAGGAGTTTGGAACTTGATTCCAACATTTGCAGCAAACTTCAAAGGAAAAGCAAAATTACAATAATTATGAATTATCTCCTTTTTAGAAYAGCCTTTACAACTCAGAAATAAGAGACAAAGAACAAGTGTTGGGTGAAGAAGCAGCAGATCAAGTGCTTCTCACTTCTTGAGAGTTAATGTCATAACTTTAAAGGATTATACCAAGTTATTTTAATGTGAATTTCCTGTTGCCCTGAACAATAAGTAGGGACTTGCTCCCAGACCTCCCAGTAYATGAAAAAGTAGGTGTATTTTTTTTCATGGAAATGATGAGCATAGTTACTATGTGATGAGAAACAGGCCTGTATTTYGTGATACAGACTACTTTGCACTAATGAGTTTTATTGTGACGATACATACTGCTCTGTCACTGCATGAAAAGTCTTTCTTCTTCCCTGCAGCCCATCCAGCAGGTCTCCCTGCTGCATCTAATAAAAARCAACTACAATAAGTAAGGTATATATGCATTGTAAACTGCTTTTTTTAAATTACAGGGTCAGCTATCTCAGAATGCATTTATATCATCAGGCAGTAGGCAAGTAGGTATAGGGCAAGCATCTACGTTATCATGAAGAGCTGCTATTTATGTTTTTTATTTGAAACATTTGATGAATTTTATTTAGGCAGAATTGAGTTCAATTGTAGCCTCTTCCAAAGACAACTCAACTCCATCGGGATTCCTGTGTTAAAACATGGCTCACTTCCCTCAGTACTAGATCGTTCCAGTCATAAAAATAATAACAGAAAGTTTGACACACAATAAAATTGAATTAGCCTTAGGTAAGGCAGAAACYCCATCAAATTCCCAGAAACACTATASCAATTTGTACCTCCAATATAAAAGCTTTTGTCCTTGTCTATTGTTATTCCTTGGTTTAACTGTAGGATGACAGACAGGTCAGTAATTATTATTTAGGTATAAKCATGCACATAATATTGTATTGTTATACATTTATTGTATTTTTACTCAAAATCAGATTTAACTTTTTTAACACACATGTTATGATTGTTTGAGAGGTATTGCTCACAACATAACTGAAAAAGTGTAGATAAAAATTTGCTTTGACAGACAAAGAAGCAAAAAACCGTCCTGCAGTGATTCTCTGGAGAGCTATTTTCAAGAACACTTTAACTGGAAAAATTGAGAAGACCAAAAGAAGCACCAGGAACTAGCACTTATGCGCTTTGTGCATTATACCTTTTTACAGAGATGTTTCCACATTCCAGTTGAAGGCTTACGAAAATGTCCAGTTCCAGGTGAGATTAGAACCTAAATAGAACAAAACCATGRYCAGAGCCTATCCCAATAAATATTGACCATTGATTGTATGGGCTGCCTGAGACCTATCAGAGATTTTGGGGGACTTTGTATAGCATCATTAAAACATGTCTTGCTTGACTAGGAAAGGTGTGCAGGTTGCTATAAGTTTGTATTGTACATGACAGTATAGGTGTACCTGTGCTGGAACACTTAAAGCTTGAGTGACATTTTCAATTTTCTTCTTAAAGTCTGGAATACTAACTTTCTTCTTTGCTATACCATTCTGGTTTGTAAACATCACAATCTGAACAAACAACCAAACTTACATGTTTAACAGACTGTCTGGACAACAATGCATACATCGAAGGAATATTTTAATACAACAATAAGTTCACTTATTTGTAATAGACAATATCTAGCATGCGATCACACCCAGGATAAAAATTGTATTAATTAATGGTTACAATTGGAAGAACTAGAGCACCTCGTGGTAAATAAATAAGCCTTTTACAAAACACTTGATGCCTAACATCATTGTGTTCCTGTAGGAGTCCTGCCTTGGAATCCATAGGTGATTTTTGGAATGATAGCTGCCATGCAACATGGAATGAAATAGATGGGAAAATGAAAGGATGAATGAAATAGATATTATATGAATATRCTKAAACCTTGTAACCTTCACTGCAYAAACTCTTCAATTTGCCAGGAATCTGAGGCAGTAAAATCCTGAGAAATAAAAACAGTCAATTATGCTCTCCTTGCATTCACTGCAATAAACAACTAGATCTATTGAGACTGTTGGTCAGATTTCAAAATTCCAGGATAAGAAATTATTATATTTTGCTTTATGAATACCCCTTAAACAGCAGTAGGTTTTCACCTCTCTTAGAATGAATTCTTTGATTGGCTATGTTGTTCTTAAAAGAATAACAATGACACTTTTTGTTTGTTTGTTTGTTTGTTTGTTTTCTCCTTTTGTTTTCTCCTAAAAAAGCCTATTGGATTACATTACCTGAGAAGTGAAATCCCACCCCCATAAATAAATGATTAGCAGGATAAGTGTTGACTAGATTAAGGCTATATTTAGAAATAAGTAAGTTTTATAATTTACAGCCTTTTGCAAAAATTATGAGAATTGTTGAAATACCTAAATATCATAATATCGAGTGTATGATGGGTAATCCTGTGCGATGCCCTTAGTCCCTTGTCTTTGTAGTTTAGTTTTTTTTGGCGACAGACTTATCCGTAGTTCTGAACAATTTCTCGATGTCAACAATGAATTATTCTAGCAAACCCTCGTGTTCCAGACAATATATGGATATGGATATTATGATATTTAGATATTTAGACAATTCTCATAATTTTTGCAAAAGGCTGTAT